GCCACTGCAATACCCTTACTGAAAGGCAATCACTCTTGATTATCTTTAAAAGGTCATGGTGACTGCGGGAGGTTCCTGAGGATTAGAAAAAAAGGAAATATCCCTTCTGTGCTCAAAAAGTGTAAGATAATGATCTGGGGAACTACAGGCTAGTCAGTCTTACCTGGATCCTTGGGAAGGTGAAGAAGCAACTAATCCTAGGTACTATTTCCAACCACAAGAAGGACATGAAAGTTATTGGGAGTAGTCAGCATGGATTTACCAGTTACAACCTGGTAGGCTTTTCCAGTGAGATAACTAATGTGGTACATCAGGGGAGAGCAGTGCATGTTGTCTCCTTTGACTTCACAAAAGATTTTGACAATGTCTCCCATTACATCCTCATATGCAAGCTTTATGTTTTCAGATAGTTTTTTTTTCTTATTTGGGCCTGACAATTTTTTAATAATACACAAAATAGGAAGATAATTTCTTGTCCAGAACATGAAAGATTTCAGGTTATCTGAGACTCTACAATAAGAGATTCTTCATTTTTTTCTGCTTTGTTGACTACAGCCAAAACCAACCAAACTACCCATTACACCAGTCAGAACTTTTTTCAGGGACTATCCAAAATTTGGCGATTATTAAAGGCTATATAGGAATTAGACCTTCACACCTGGATTCTCTTGCTGCTTCTGCAGGCAATTCAACAGGTAATTGATAATTCTGCTTCTTTGAAAGATCTACAAGAACTGTCATGAAATGCGGGCAGGAGATAGGATGTCAGGCAACGTAGGCAAGCTGAGGTAATTGCTGACACCACAAAAGCCTGTGAATTTTTTTCAGCATTTTGAAGGGGTTGAAAGACTGCCATTCACAGGTAGAATTCACAGCTGTACCAAGAACCTCAGAAAAAAAAAAAAAAGTTTGCAAGTAAAAAGCAGAAACACAGATGCCAATGCTCAGGAGATCCTCCTTGAATGACAATGGCAAAGTCCTTCTACCAGGAATCAAGTTACTGTCAGAAGATGACAGTCTTTCTTCTGCTGAATGCCTGCTTTTCCAGCTGACTTGGAAAAGACTATTCACAATTTTTATCTGCATTTACAGTAAAAGGAGTGGTGTGTTCTCCCTAAGGATATTTCTTATGATAATCTTCCCCAGGGCCAGATTCCCTGCAGCAGGAGTGTTGCATGCCCTTCTGATATCTATGGAGTTTTATCATCTGGTGTGAAGCCATGGCAGTCTTCTGATAAGCATGAACACATGCTTTCTTCAGTAGAGTGAACCTGCATTTCAGCAACATGTGCTGACCATTGAGACCCCTCTGGAACCCATTGTACTCTGACTCTCACTTCAAAGAACATTGTCTTGCATACTCTTGTCACATGCATCCTACTGAATAGCGCTCCTGATGAGGCCACTGTCACTGTGCCCGCAAAAGATCTCTGAATAAGAGCCAAGGAAAAGAACAAGGAAGAGTCTGTAAATTGCAGTCTTCAATTGCATTTTTCAGTTGGGTGTGAGCAAAACAGGACTAGCATAGGGAAGGGATAGTGCAGAGGGATATACAGTCAATAACACCCTAGAAAGGCGGAACCCAAGAAACAAAAAGGTCTGCTCAACAGGACCTCCCATCTGCATGTGTTTTCGGATGTTCAGCTTAGGAGGGCATGCTGGAGGTGACTACTTCTTCCTCAAACAACATATTTTGCCTAAGAACCCTCCTATCTCTTCTTCATTCTCTTCAGCTAAGGGATTACAATACATCCCTTTTGGAATGTCCATTACTCATGAATCCGAGAGCGGTAAGGATAAATAGAAATGCAATTTGCTCTTATGCTGCACCACAACAGAGACAGAGGAAGAGAAAGAAGGAACAAACCAGAGCCTTTCTACTTGGTCTTGAGTGGAAGCAGTATAAAACATTTCCCTTGTGGGTGGCTTGTGCAACCATAAATAAATACGTAAATAAAAAGTACTCTTTCATTGTTTGCTTTTAAGAAAAAAAAATGTTTAAAGCTATTAGGCCACAGACTACTGCTCTGCATTTCTATATGTGCCTTTCCTGTTATGACGTTCAGCTGGTGCAAACCACAATTTGAGGATAAAATCATATTGCTGCATTAGAAAGAAAGCCCTTATTAGAAAGATCAGGCAGAGACATCCAACACACATATCATGAATCTGCAGAATTTTCGGCAACTTTTTACCTCGTGCTTGCAAATATGCTGATTTGCTAGCTCTTGCATATGCATCCACATTAAAAACAATGTCCTGTTGAAATAAAGGTCAAGCTCAGTAAGAGTGGATGACATTTAGAAAGATTTTGGAGTGGGGGGATTAAATTACTGCTGAACTGCAAAGGTTTCCATCTTGTAATCAGAGAAGAAATCTCCAGAGTGAGTAGAGAATACCTGACTCATGAAGAAGAGCATAGAATGAGAGACTCCAAAATATTGATTCTAGGCACTTGGAGAGTTGACTGAATTCTCCACACTGACTCATGGCTGCCGGGCTCCTGATAAGTACTGTAATTATTGCATTCCAAAGTCTTCTAGGTCCCTGCTGGAAAGTCTCTCTCCTAGAACAGAGCTTGGGCTCCAATGTGAGAAAAATTGCGTGATTTCTAATTTTTCAAAGCAGCTGAGACAAGGCAGTAAGCAAGGAGAGTTACATATTCTACACTGACAATTCAGAGTTCAATTGCATATGGTTTTGCGTGAAAATTTGGTTCTGCCCCCTGGACATCAAGATGAGGCCAAGCTGCAGAAAATTCCCAGGAGAACAGAAGGATTGTCCAGTGAGGCAGAGAAAGTATGTTCCTGATCACACATGGGATGTGATCTCTTTCTGTTTTTTTTGTGTCTTTTTTTTTTTTTTTCCAAGAAAAACTGCCCAGGAGCTGATAGCAGCTCCTGTCCTTGAGTGACCTTAGAAATGCACAAATATATTCATTTCTGTGTCCTCAGAAGAATTTATGCTATACATAGGTATCTGATTTATACATGCATTTTATGTAGGCATATACATATATATTTATAAATACCTTAGACCTGTGTCTATGTGTACATGATACAATTGATCATGTATAACTACCTATATATTTTTACAAGATCAGCATAGATACTCTTACTGCAAGATACTCTTACTTTCTGCCCCTTTTAAATTCTTTTTTCTGCCAAGTGAATGCTTTCCTTTCAAATATCAGCCTGGAACAAATAACTCAGCAGGTTGCTGCATTCATTTAAATCAGATACTACTATTTGTTTTGCATAAGCATCTATTTACCATGTGTTGAAAAGCTCTTTCCCCTTTTTTTCCTTCTTCTTCCCCCCCCATATTCTCATGCATTACAGCCCCTTATTTTAAGTCTATCCAGTGTGGTTCTGGGAATGTGTTTCAGCCAGGATCCAAAATAATTGTTGCTGTGGATGAGAAGTAAATTGCTGCAGGACAAGGGGGCAGGTTTGTACCTGAAGAGAAAGCATGGGAAAGATCCAGACAACAGAAACGAAAGCAGCTGCTTGTTCTCTCTGGGTACAGGGAACTCATCAGCCACTCATGAGACCAAGAAATGATTGTTATCCTGTCTTACTAGATCTGTGCTTGGGGGGACTGACCCCTAAGTGGGTGATTCATCTCAAGTTCAGCTCTCAGCAGACAAACTACTTGAGATGGCTGTGCCTCATCTCTTGGCAAGTCTCTAGAAGGGAACAGTGGATTTTTTAAAAGTGCTTTGCAAGTGCTATTCTTGCTTCTGGCACACTGCATTCATTTCTCTGTGCATGTGCTGGTCCTTCCTATTATGAACTTGAGGTTTTCCTTGGCATTTTGTAGCACATTAGCATGAGCTCTTGAGGATGCAAGAATGTGCTGTCTCTAAGGAAAAGTGGCAGGCAACAGAGCACATCACTGAGGAACAAGAAGGAACATAGAAAGCAGTCTGCAAATGATACCGTTGTGTGTGCTTGAAAGTGCATACCTGCCCAAATTCCTTCTTCTTGCAACAGTTCATTCACTTCATAGCGTGGCTGCATTCAACCATGTTCTTCTAATCACAGATATGTTGAAAAAGCTCCTAAACAGACTTCACATTAGGGCTTAAGATCTTTTAGGCTCAAGCGAAAGATGCTGGAAGAGGGGTTTAAGTAAAGGAGGATTTTAGATGGTCATTAAGGAGGATGAAAAAGATGAACCTGATCTCTGTTTAAACAAAGATATCAGATCCTAAAGATTAGCATAATTGTTAAGCAAGTCAAAAAAACAACAAACAACACTAAAAAAAAAAAAAAACAGCTAGATAAAGGAACCAAAAGTAGTCCTGAATTATTCCAGAATGTCAGAAGTAAAAACATCAAGGCTCTAGAAAGACAAAAGATCATCCGGAGTGTAAAAGGAGTGCTCTGAGATCACAGCACTGCATTAGTGAAATTAATGAAGGGAAATTAATCATAAGCATGTTCAAACCAGGACACATGGTGTGCAGTGGGCAAATTTATGAACTAAAATAAAGAATAGTACCAACGGATGCCTGAGCAAATCTTTGTCTCATCCATATCTTGACTAGTACATTTCTGGTCTTTTCCTGCAGGGGATATAGTAGAACTGCTAACAGTTCAGAGAAGGTCTGCATAAAGAAGACTGAGTAGGCTTGGACTCTTCGGCCTGGAAGAGAAGCAATTTGTCTGGGATATGGTAGAGATCCACAGCATTATGACATTCTGCTGGGAGAGGAAGATTGACTACTTCTGTCTCTTCCCATACCAGAATTAGGGTCATCAAATGACGCTGGATGAAAAGAGGCTCTTTGTCCATCAGTGCAGAGTGGGGAATGCCTTGCCTCAAAGTAAGGCAAATGCAGAATGTTGCTTTGAGGTCTAGTGGAGGTCAGATAAGCATTTGAACAGAAATCTGCTAGAACAAACCATAGACACAACAACAGACTCTGAGCCAATAAACAACAAGAGCTTCTATGCTAAAACCATGAGAGGACATATAGGAGTTTGGGGAAGTACATTTTCTTCTTTCACTTCTTTGGGTATTTGCTGATGGCAACAGCTGGAGTTGAGATATTGGGGCCAAAAGGGCCTAGCTCTGAACACATACAGCTGTGGAAAGACTAAGCAAGCTGGGCCTGTTTAGTCTGGAGAAGACAAGGCTGAGAGGAGATCTGATCAATATGTACAAGTACCTGAGGGGTGAATGTGAAGAGGAAGGGGCCAAATTCTTCTCAGTGGTGAGCAGTGATAGGATAAGGAGTAATGGGTATAAATTAAAACACAGGAAGTTCCATCTCCATGTGAGGAAGAACTTCTTTCCTGTGAGGGTGACAGAGCCCTGGCACAGGCTGCCCAGAGAGGTTGTGGCGTCTCCTTCCTTGGAGATCTTCAAACCCATCTGGATGCCACCCTGTGCCATGTGCTCCAGATGACCCTGCTAGAGCAGAGGGGTTGGACTGGATGATCTGTAGAGGTCCCTTCCAACCTCAACCATTCTGTGATTCTGTGATTCTGTGCCCTTCTCGTTTTTACGAGCTGCCTCTGACTCAAACTGATTTGGCTGAGTTTAGAGAAGTAGAGGTGAAATGTTCACCACCAAACACCAGCTGCGCCTGCTGAGGCAGAAGCTGGGCTGAAAACAGAACTAGCTGTAGAGAGCCAAGGAGGGAGGTCATTCAAAAGCCTTTGTGTTTTTCTAAGCTCTTAGTAGGACCTGGAAGGCAGAAGTGTCATTTCTTCTTTGTGGACAGAGAAGGTCAGTAAGGTTCGCTATTCCAAAGGTGCTGCCTAATGGAGTCTACTCTGAAACACAAGAGTAATTTACAGGGATGCCACAGGGGAAATATAACAGGCTGCATTCATATCCTTCTCCCAGTGTTATCCTGTCCCTTGAACTGATAGGACAAGCCCCACAGGACACAAAACTCCCTTAAGCTTTCCACTTAGATTTTTCTCCTGTTGACTATACCAATGTTTTCAATGTTGATTTTGCTGTCAGCGCAGGAAAATGTAATTCTGCAACTGTAGAAGCTTGGGAATGATTAGTTAGGTGATTATCTCCAGATCTTGCTGTGAGACTGTTTAATTTTTGTCATCATCCCCTTGGGGATTCTGCTGCATAAATTCAAACCCAGCCATGCCCCACTGTGGCTAAGCACTCATTAGCACTCGCACCCTGACAGCAGTCCACGGAGACCACAGCTTTGCCACCAGCTCAGAGCTGAGATTCAGTAAAATCAAAGGTTTTTAATCAGATCCTTTCAAACCCTTGACACATGCTTCCCTCTGAAAGACAAAAAGCACTTCTCGGTGCCATTAGCAATGCAACAAGAGGAAAACTCTGGCATCATAATGCTGTGAAAATGGCAAGAGCACTTCTGACACCCAGAAAGAGCAGGCAAGGAAGTATGAGTGTTTATTCATGTGCTGTAGTACTTCACAGGGATGTGGTAGTGGATGCCTAAGTCTGCAAGTGAGAAACTGCAATGCAATTTTTGTTCTTCCTTGGGCACTTTTTAACCTGGCACTTTGTTTTTTCCCTTCTGTAAATCAGAGGCGTTGTTTTCTTTCTACCTGATAGAGCTGTGGAAGTCATATTTGCAGCTGATAGAAGTTGATGAGATGTCTTGTTATCCTAACTGCCTAACTGAACAGCATGGTGCTGGCAGGATGCCCCCAGGCTCTACAGCACTGCAAGGTTGTGGTGCCATCACAAATTCAGAGAACCAGCGTCACTTCTCGGCAGCTGCTATGCAACAAAATTCCCACCATTGCAAGTGCCTGTACCATCTCCAAAACCCACACTACAGATGAAGTACATGACATGCATTTCCTACTTTTGAGATCAACTCCTGAGACTTTCTCATTCCATCTGGCCAGAAACAAAGACTGAGTGGAAGAGCTTGCTGCACTGCTATGACGACACTAACTTGTATTTCTCAAATGCAAGAGAACTTGCATTTCTCATGACTTTTTTATTTTTATATTTTAATGAAGAAAAAGAGTCAAGGGTATTTCAACTCACTCCTGCCAGCTCCTTTCTGGACTGCTACAGAATATGTATTTTCAAGAGTTCCTGAGCAACCATTCCAGGTTTTTTTTTTTTCCCTCCCTCTCATGTTATGAAAGATCTCATGGTAGTTCCACCAGGAGGGAAGTTCACATCTCTGAAATTTTAACTTCCTGCTAAACATTCATCTTCCAGAAAGTGGACCATGACAACGAACACAGGCAGTGTATTCTTTTTATCTCTCTGGTTTTAACTAGGGTGTTATTTTTTCTGATGCAGCAGTGATCTTTTGTCTTTGTGCAAGCACGTTGTTTTGTTGTTGTTGTTGTTGTGTCTTTTCCTTGAGGCTTTGTATGAAATAGATTTTATACAAGAAAACCATTTTGAAAAGCAGCAGCACTGTGCATTCATTTATGGGATGTCTGAACCCAGTCAAGCTCATGTTAACTCTAAGACAGACCAAGCAAGACTAGCTCTCATTTTTCCAGTGGCTGAGCACTTCACCATCATTAATGAGTCTCCCAGGATTCTTGCATGGAACAGAGTTCTGGAGTTTGGGAGCAGGATCTCATAGCCAGTCAAAAATTGAGTCTTGGATGACACCAACTGACAAACAGTACCTGGAAAGAAAACACATCAATAACTGGGTCTACAAAGTCATAGCCATGCACAACATGTGCAAATTCCTGTTCACCACTGACTTCCATGCACCCAGCCAACATTTCATACATTTCCAACACCACAGTTTTCCCTTCATAAAGTACATGCCTAGCAGAGTCATGAACCAGTGGAAAAAATGTGGCTTCACATGTGACCTGCTTTCCAGCTCTTGATGCAAAATATGAGTAGATGTTCTTCAAGCATAAAAAGGATCATTAAAAGGAACAACAAAGAAAACACTTAACTGAAATCAGCTTTAGGAGGTAGATTGTTGTTTTTTGTTTGTTTTTGTTTTGTTCTGACATTGGGGCAAAGGTCCTAGATATCCAAACTGCTGCTAAGATCTGGAATATTTTATTTATACTTTTGTGTGTGTGTGTGTGTGAACTAAGGTGAAAAATCATTTAAAATCTCTGTTGGCTAACAAAATAAATCCTTTGTTGAAGCAAGTGTCCCCTTCACTATCTGCAGAGTACTTTTAGGACACCACTAAGCATGCCACAAACATACGAAGAACCTGGAACAAACACAGCTTTGATGTGGAGGAAGAAATACCATTGCCTCTGAGGAGCACTAGAAAAGAAGGGGCTTCTTGTGCCCAGAAGAGAGAAGTCAACAAACAGCTCAGTTGTTTTCACACAAATGCAAGAGCCAAGTCAGGACAAGCAGCCAAGGCGAGAAGAAGCGATTCCGAAGGCAGCACACCTCGCTGACAGCGTGATCATTGCTGACTCCAAAAACACCCAGGTGCCATCTCAAATACTCATCAATGTGCCATCACACACCTGCTTTCCAGCACAGCAGTCCTGGGGACATGTTGCTATTATACAGTAATGTTGCATGGAAATGATATTTGTCTAGCTATTCTGGAAAATGCTTTTTATGAGGCTCTGACTTTATCAGCCTTTATCAAAGCACGCGTGCAGAGCAAGCACTGTGGACAGTGAAGAAGAATATGGGAAGCGCAAAACTGTTTTCTGTCAATTAAATCAGCTGTCATTAATGATTAATGTATTGTTCACACATTGCCCGGTAACTTTGTCTGCTGAAGTATCATCTGGAAAGCGTATCCAAAACAAAAAACAAAAGATCTCCAGACATGGGAACAATTCCCCTCTGCGTTGTGGTGGAGAAATACAAGACACGTCTATGGCATAAAGGGCAAAGTCTGGGGAGTCCAACAGTGATTCCAGAGAAACAGAGTGAAGAGATGCACATGGACTGCCAAGCCACACTTAAAGAAGCCACGACTGGTTAGGATGAACTGCGGTGACTACTAACATTCTCCCATTTGGTCCACTCTTCCCCATGTCTTTGAGATTAACTTGGTAATTGGGTAAGGGGCCCCACTGCCTTCTCACTCCACTTCAGAGTTTCAAGCTAAGCATCTGGTCTGAGCTAGATCTTCTATGGTCCACGGAGAGATGTGCTGCATGCTATGGACACCTGTGCAGTCTGTCCTAAAGCTGGCTTCGAGGACATTACTCTCTGGGGTATGCATTTCCTTCTATAGAGTACAGAAGGAGGTTGGATCATCTTGGAGAGAAACAGCTAACAGTTTGATGGCTAAAGCTGGGTAAGGTAAACCCACACCAGAAGTCTGGTTGTTTCTTCAAGGACAGCGAAATACCCTCAGGATTGCTTCTGTTTCCCTCTCACTCTCAACTCTACAAGGTGCATTTTGTGATTCTTTTTTCTTTTTACTTTTTTAAATAGATATTTAATTACCAGCTCTCATTCTGACTGATCCACTAAAATTAGAAAGCAGCAAGGTTCCTCATCTTTTCTCATTCCTTCTCCCTCCTTCTTCCTCCGGCTCCCTCCCCAAGGCCTTATCAATTCCTCCTGCAGCCTGGGAATATCTGTGGGTTCTGCTAATGAAAGCTGGCAATAGCTATGTGGTTCGCTGCAGCATGTCCCAACTGGCTCCAATGCATATTGTTTCGTGTGCTATCACTTCACAGCTAACAACTTGCACAATGAGCAAGTAAGAGAGAACCTTTCAAAATGAAGATTAAATTAACTTCATTAAGTGCTGATGGAGTACACTTCTTGGCTTACTCACACATGGATTCAACTTAGATTTGGTTTTATGATGGTCTTCCTGCAATTCTCATTTCATTACAACAGGACTTCTTTGCTGCATGCCAGATTTTAGCTCTTTCTAAATGCAGCAGTTATCTCTCTGAGGAACAGAATATCAGCTTCAGTGAGTCCTGTTCTTATGCCCACTCTGGCAAAGGAATATACATTCTACCCGAGGAATATGAAAAAAAAAAAAAAAACCTCTCACAAAATTAATGGCTGTCATATCAGTTTTGTAATGCTTCCTAGCTGTTCATCTAATGGGACATATGACAGAAATTGATCATTTTGAATGTGGAACATGCAGCAGGGTTAGACAAGCTCCTGGGATGCTGAGTCTGATGCCTACCTCAGTGATTTTGCAAAGCTGCAGGGTGTCTGCAAGTATATGAGCCCCAGCAAAAGGCTTTGGCTTTGCTTTTCTCCTGTGCATATGCTAAATCTCAGAGCAGCAGGGCTGGTCCGTAGCAGACTTTGCTTACCATTGCTCGCCTGCACACTACTTACAGGATTTACCTAAAGCCCTCCCACACTGACTCCTTAAAGGGAATTAGTTGAGCCTTAAGCTTTGCACAGCTGCATGATACCTAAATCCCATCAGCCAATAGGAGTCCTGGAAAACATTTTCACTACTGGGGGAAAAAATAAGATTTTTCTACAAGAATTAAGTTTTATCAGACATTACTTCAGTTTACGGCCAGTAGTTCTATCTTGGAATAAGCTGTGCAATCATAGTCAGATGCTCTTAGCAGTAGATATGGGGACATGATATCACAGGGGGGCCCCAGGCCTAAATGAGAAGGAAGCCTTTGGGTTGGTGGAGTCTAGTGCAGCGGGGAGAGCACAATTCTGTGCATACATATCAACCCCAAAGCAGTTTTATGGTGCATAGTAGCTAGAAAACCATGGCAACTTTGCTTGTCCTCCAGCCTTCTTCAGCTTTCTGCAGCTTTTTGTGTCCTGTACCAAAGTCCTATGTTCTTGGCATTCCTCTACCAGAAACTTCCTTCATCCTAAGACATTAAAAACTTAACAGGATCTTCTGCTGGACTTTGAGCAGAATATTTGCACTGTGATTTAAGTAATGAACCAATTTTTGACTCTTTTCGTCTTCCAGTGTGACACGAGGCACAGACAAATCACCTAGACTCAGTGCAGTATTAGCTAGGAAGTAGAAAATGTGTATTTGTGAGAGAGTAATTGCTGGGTGACTACCAGAATCAGGCTACTTTTGTCTTCAAGTGTTTTCCTGAGTTCACTCAGGTTTTTTTGGCAGGTCCTTCCACTCAGGATGATGAAAAATGCTCACTGCAGATTAAGAAATCTGCCATGCTTAGTTTCAGCAGATCCTTCCTTCCTCATTATTTGAGTAACCTGGATTAACACTAGGGATTTTTCTTCAAGGAAAATAACCTCCTGGCCTTTCCAGATGTATAGGCATGCAACTGAATTAAATATACTACAGTAAACTTTATGTCGGATTCATCAGAGATACTGCAAAATGACTCCACCAAATTAATTAATACCAAAAAAAATAAGCTATTTATTCTTCATTCAAATAGGAAATACTGAGAAAAGCATAAGCTTAGGCTTTCTGAAATGGTGAGCTTAAAGATAAAAAGAACAGAAAGGCATCACTTTGTGTAATATCTCAAAAATTGTGCAAAGCTTTGAGTACCGTGCTACCTTGCCTGCATGATGTTATCTGTACAGATTTCATACGGTATGTGGGTCTCATTATTAATCATTTCATAAAAAATAGGATCAAAAATGATTAGTGAACTGGTTAAAGAGCCTGAACATGATAGCTAAAAAGGTTAACTTTATTCTTTCAGCTCACAGTCTGAGAAAAATAGATTAAAATGAGACATGATAAGTAAAATTTCTTTTTACTAA